TTTCACAAAGATTGATAAAAGGAAAATCGCAATATTTACTTGGTACTGCATAAAAGTGGTTTGTTTATACATTTTTTAGTTATGCTGCACCTACACAAAATACCCACTGCACTGAAGTAACGAATATTAAAAAGAACCTGTTTCAACAGCCCCACACTTAAAATTTACATCAGGCAAACCCAACCAGCTGAAAGCCTGCTGCTCTTTACACTGACTTGTAAGCCAAGCTAGCATGCAGACCTCCTGAATTCAGCATCTCACCGAAAATGATCTTAAAACATCCTCACATCCAAGTTACTTGTGGTAATTGTTTGCTGTTCATGGATTTTCAGTTGTTAGGCTCAGTCCCTCAAAGCATGAAACACAGAAGACTATTTAATAAAAACTAAGCTTGGTGGACAGCAACATTACTATGCTGTTTCCAGGCCATACATTTCCTCTGCTAGGAGATCTATGAGAGGGACTCAGGATTTTACTGAATTTTGGTTACTTGCAGTGGTAGGAGAGGCCTTCCTTTAGCCACTCATGGGAGAGGCATGTTCTCAGCCAAATAATCATACCTCCTGTGAAAGAGTTAAACAGGAACACAGCATTTTGACACAGCTTTTGGCTTTTTGGACACCTTATGGCTATTTTGGAGAAAGAATTTACTAGAAGAAGTGGTTTTTGGTAATTCTGTCTGGTCATTTCTGAGCCAAAATTAACAGATGCACATAAAGTTATGGAAGGGCAAGATGTCATATTTTTTGTTGTGTCTACATCTTCACCTTTCTTCAGAAGAGTAATACCAGTCTAAAATTGAGTTTTGCACAGAAACAATCCACTCCAACACAAGTTGATTGTACTTGCTGTTCTGTGATGCACTGAGGACTCTGTTTAGTGTGAAATCCTCAGCAGCTCTGTTACTTCTATGTAAATAAACAGAGAGAAGGAACACTTTGTCATTAGTTCTTTTGTCCAAGAGATCAGACACACCAGCAAGGTACTTATTCAAACGTTATTGTAGGACACAAGTAAGATCAGGCACTTTATGATTATCCATATAGCATACATGAGATGGATTGCCCCAGCATTAGCAAACCGCTTTATCATTTTTATACCAGCAGAAATTCCTTCTGAGGTAAGAAATTCACAGTAAACCCACATTTTGCCAGGTAAGAACATCACACCCAAACCCATACCTACCTGCAACTTCTTCCTCTGAAAGACAACTCACACATTTTGAAAAAAAGTTATTTATTTTCACTGCTTTAATCTCTCTACTGTAGTGTTAGCACTTAACATAAGCATCCACTCTTCTACTGTCCTATTTACAATCCATTGAAATGTATACTCTACAAATACAATACATATTTTCAGAAATGTAAAGGGAAATGCACAATTTTGTAAGGTTTAAAAAAAAAAAGTGACACTCATCTGTACAGGATCCTCAAATCATCCAAAAAGTAAAATTTACAAGGCAGTATCCACACAGCTATGTAAGGGCAGGTGCTACAGTGACAAAGCAGCAAACTTGCTAATACAATAAAATACAGAAAAAAGTGTTTTGGGGCACCAGATAATACATTTAGTACCGCTGAAGTTGTATATTTAGTAATACCCATATTTCTAGAAACACGTAACTGCAAACCTGGAGAATGTACTGAAAAATATTAAACATTATATACACATGAGGTAAATGTACCTTGGTCTTTTAAGAGGTAATTTGAGTTTAAAGCAACTGATATGGTGAAGTTTTATTGTTGTTTTTTTTTTTTTTTAAACACAAAATGATTAACACCTTGCAATCCTTTCAATGGCACAATATAAACAAGGAACTAACTAAAAGGTGAATTTCATGGCAATCATACTCAGAACCATTACTGAAAAAAAAAAAAATAGCCTCTTATTTCATCTGACACCTTCATGTCCCCGTATAATCAATCCCAACGTCTTTACCTATATACAAAGTCTTTCTTAGGATTACAAGTGGAACCACTGGAGGGTGACAGTGTGTCATACTTGGAAAGTCAGCTTGAGAAACATCCCAGAATTCCAGCTTTTAAGGTTGGAAGGTCCCTGAAGAATTCCAGCGTTCCAAAAACAACGTTTTGGGCTTTTCAGCATCAGACTATTTCCAATGCTCCTTACTCTCCATGTCCATATCCACCTGGTCACAAGTCTGTAAACCAAACTGAGGCTTCAATGCTACTAAAATGTCAAATTGATTAAACCCACAAAACTTAAGTGAATGTATAATGTATGTAATATTTACAATAAACATTTGCATCAGTATTCATCAGAAACTATTTTGGTATATACTTGAAATGATACAAAATTAATATTTTGAATGCTAAAATATTTTGGTCCCCCTGGATTTCCAAGAGCAGATCTGGTGATATTACAATCTTAATTTAAAAAATACTTATGTGTACCTGTGTCCATATATATAAGATATGATCTTACACAGGTAACATTTAAAGTTACATAATATATACAGACACAGCCTTTGTAAAAGGTGTTCAGTTTATATAATGGAAAAGAAGAACAAAGCTTGAAGTTGTGGTGTCAGAACAGAGGATACTTATAGCTCTATTCAGAATTTTCCTGTTCTGCATTCCAATGTGAATAATAAGGTTGTACCAAAATAACATTCCTAACGTCACACACCTTATCAAGCACCCTTCCTGTGCTTTGTTTTTGCAAGCTTTATTACAAAGCAAAAAATCAGAACGATATAAGAATAGTTGCTAGCAATTCAGGAGGATGAAGACTAGTAGGTGGTTGAGATGAGACAGACGTAACAAACCACTGTACAGTTGGCTGAATAATCTGCATGCCATAATGCTGTTCAGCTGCCGTAGATTCTGTTTTAAATGCAACAGAACTGCTCCTTATACTGTAGGAAACTAAACGTTATGGTGATAAGGTTTTCTAGGTGCTAAAAAAAGCCACTAATGAAATTATTTGATGAACTATATTGGAAGCGCTCTCGTGTTACCATCAAGATTGCTATAAAGATCTGAAGCATGCCAGTAGCCTGATGATTCTAAAGTATGAACTATACCATTTGTATCTATGGTAAAGATCCAGTTAAACCTCTGAAAAACTCAAAATTTAACAAAGCTAACAAATTGTTTAAATAGGAAGCCTTTGAAATCAGTATGGAGATACAGCAAGTTCTACTTTCATGCTGACGTGTTTTCTTTAAATATTTGTCTAGATACATAGAACTTGTTAGAGAGGCATGCCAAGTAGGTAGATTTAGGAGTTTAGTTATATTCATAATTTTTTTAGCATAGTCATAATTGAAAAACTGTGGTGCACAGCTGTCCATTTGCACAAAGGCATAGTTTATTTAAAATACCTACATGAAGTAATTTTTGATTCAGCTTTGATTGAGAGAGGCCTGAAGCACATAAGACTGACTGGTCAGATAATGCCAAACATAAGCGTGACAGCTGTACATACATTTAAATCCAATTGTTTCCTAAGAACTTCTCTTATCTCTTCCTCTTCTCCTGGATGCCATCTTCCAGTACGAGTAAACTCATCCATAAAGGCAGATGAATAAAGCAAGTCATTATTTGCAGTTCAACCTCTGAAGGTTTGTAATTCCCACATCATTTAAACCTATCTCCAAGCAAGCACTAAGAATTTGGAAATACGCAAGACTTAGCAAAGTGCTAAGGCTTACCTTGGCTAAGTCTTACATCACCTATATAGCCTGTTCTTACTAGGACTCATCCGTCTTACTGCTTTAACTACCATATATCACGGACTACGGAACACAATCTCGACTATGCTTCTGTCAGCAACCACCCTGCCACGGCTACTAGCTTTGTGAAAAACTCTCAGTGGACTGTATGCTGAAGAATGAAAAGGAAGCAGACTTAAGGCTGCCATGTGTGTTGCGTAATAGGATGGATACCGATGTGTTCTGGAGAGTAGGAGGTCAGGTGGCATATTAATTACCAGGCACATTTACATACTGCAATACTACTGAGTGTTTTGGGCATTAATGAAACCAAAAGGCCAACCAGACTCTTCCTAAAACTGCAATTAAAAAAAATAATCCTGGTAACAGCAGTTTTCTAAAGAGAATTTTACATATTAATTCCCCCAGTCCCCTCCAGAAGTTGTATATTCGGGCAGGAAGCAATTCAATTTCTAAACAAGTTTGCGAAAATCTTGTGATATCCTTAAAATCTCAGGTAAATCTTGACTAAAGCCATGCATATTCTTCTGTGTTCATATGACAACACAAGCCACCATAAGCTTTGTTCTTGTAACTATGAAGAGGATCGCTGGAATCCTCTGGTATTTGTATCCAAAGACCTGCAGCGCACCACTTTCTGTAGCTCACCACTTTCTGTGTATGAGGCACACACAAAATATATGCACAGAAAATTTATAAGCAGCTTTGAACTTTCTGGTACAAAAGCCCAAATAACTTCTCCTTAATTACAGGTGCACTTAATCCTCATTTAATTGCAAATATTGTTCTTTGAGCCTTAAGACTCTGCAGAACTGCACAGAAAATTTGCTTTTCATATTTGATTTAGTGGAGCAAAATCTCCCTTAAGAACATCTTACTCCTCTTGCCACTTTTCTGAAGTAGATAGGTACTTCAAGCATTTTAGAAGTACCCTTGATAAAAAAAATCTTATATAATTATGACTCATGACTTGACAATTACAAAATATGACACTGAATTAACTAGCTTACACTATTTAAAACTCCTACAGTGGTTTAAAGAGTCAGATTTGGTAAAATTAAAGGTATTCCATGAATTATGTACTCGCTGAAACGAGTGTGAATTAGATCTTAGCTAGGCAAAAGAATAGTTGATTTTTAACTTGTATTTTTGAAACCAAAAGTACCATAGGCTTTGTACGCTCCTACTGTTTTGCATTAAAAGACTCAAAAGCGGCACTTACTGGTATAATACAATCTATTTTGAAGGCAATGTAATGTTCTGAAAAAGTGGAAAAAACCTAGTAATCATGTATAAAGTACAGTTGCATAAATTATGTTCCCACAACTGAATGAGGTCAATTTGTAAAACAAGGTAAGAGTCCCAAAGATACACTACCTTAATAGCTAGCAAAGTATACTCCAACAGTACATTCACAATCTGAACCAAAGAACTGTGACAGTGATTCAGAATAGTCAATGTACCAGCCAGGAATAAAGTTGCTTAAAGAGCCATCAATGCACTCTAGAACAATATAGCGAACCAGTTCCATTTTAAAAGTGACCTCCTATTTTTAGCACAGTTAACTAGAAGTTAAGACCAGCTGTCAACTTTTCAAATAAAAAATTATAGGTTAATAAAAATAAAACTAGACTACACCAATGTTTTGTAAGTAACCTGGAAAAGAGGTTCATAGTGCACAGAAAGGACCCAACACAACTGTTTAGCACATCCACAAAAATCCTAATAAGTGACGTTCCTATGAAGTACTAAAAGGCAGCAATATCCTTCTGTTCCCCCAATGAGGTAGAACAATTAACCTTCTTAACATGCCACTGGTGCAGATATGGATTTTTACAGTATTCTTCGGCAGCAAATCCAGGATTACATCTTTATCCCCTCCTGTTGACTAAGTTGCGATAATGTTTTTTTAATGCGCAAAGCTGTTAGCCTAGCAGCTCCATTGGCATACCAGCATTCCCGCATAATTTTTGCCATTACTCGTAATGCCTGCAAAGGAAAGACAAGTAATTATATGCACTGCTGTTCCAATGTAGCCCATGTAACCTCTGTTCTGCCTTAGCCTCTTCATGCACTTCTGAAGTCTATTACTACTACTACAGCTGCACGGAAGACTATTGTACAAAAACCTCAAATTCTTACTTTATTTACAGAAAAATAAAATTCTTTAAAATACTGTAGAGCAGAACTAGTATTTTTCAGTAGAATTTCAGCCCCCACAAAAATATTTTAATGAAAAATTAGTAGCTTGTCTGTAACTGTTTTCTGAATTTTTGCATTAGACAAAACCACACTCTGTTTTATTCTACCTCCAATTAAGGAGTTAGTTCAACATATAGAAATTCAGCAGTTTATCAGCTCAAATTGAAGCTCTGTAATGGCTCCAAAAGTTTCTGGAGTCTTTTTATCCTTCAAACAGCCATTCTTTGAAGTCTGTGAATGCTACTACACAAGTAACAATGCAAATAAAAACTGAAGATGAAATAAAGTAACAGCTCTACATTCCAAGATTTTACACTCAAAGCTGTATTACATTGAGCTGCTAAGTAAGTTTGCAGGATTGGAATGGCAGCATTTAAAAAAATAACTCTACAGTCTGTTGGTGCGTATCATCGCCTTTCTCTCCTACCTGCATTTTCTTGCCCAATCTCTTATCTCAGGCCTTCACCCATGTATTCATTTCACACATGCCAAAACCCAGTTCCCTCTTCCTTCTCATCAATCTCTTACTCCTGCTGTAACTTAGCACAGCTATTCTCCTAAGCTCTGAATCAGAAAGCATTGGTTCTAGCCCTGCAACCAGGTTCCTAGAGCAAGCAGTATGAACAAAGTTGGCTGGAAGGGCAAGAGCTCACTGCTGTGCACACTACTGCCCGTGCAGTGACTACCAGCATAATAAACTCACCCCAGAATTGGGTAAGCACTTCTTACAGACGCATGGGCAGGAGTGGTCGCTACATGCACACTTGTTATAAGTCTTTGGCTTACTAGAGTCTCAGCTTCCCAATAACTGTGTTCATCTTTCAGTAAGTGCATACAGTACAAATTCTGAGACACACAAAGTACTAAGGCCACTGCAGTTTTGGATGAAAATTCCTAAAGGTATTTACTATTTTGGCCAATCTGTAGGATATTCCTTTACTACACAATGACAGGGCAAAGACCCCTGAGTGAGTTCGTTCCAAGCAAGCATTCACATGAGGCAGTACAATACTGCTGAAGATATGTTTGTGCCCCAACAAGCAGTACTGCTGTACTGGCAGACTACTGAGCTGAAACTAGAAAGGTGACTTCTTGGGAGAGATGACCAACCTAGTTACAAACCAGTTGGCACAGACCTGATTAGCTCATGTATCTTTTACTAACCCTGTTGTGGGTTAACCGCAGTAGGCAGTAAGCCCCACACAGCCACTTGCTCACTCCCCCGCAGTGGGATGGGGGAGAATCAGAAGGGCAAAAGTAAGAAAACTTGTGGGTTGAGATAAAGACAGTTTAATAGGCAAAGGGGGAAAACCAAGCCAAAACAAAGAAAAACAAGTGATACAAGAACAACTGCTTACCACCATCTGACCGATGCCCAGCCAGTCCCTGAGCAACAGCAACCCCTGGAAGATTCCCCCCTCCCCTAGTTTTATTGTTGAGCATGATGTTGCATGGTATGGAATATCCCTCTGATCAATTTGGATCAGTGGCTCTTGTCCACCCCTAGTCTACTCAGCAGTAGAGGGGTCAGAGTGAGAAATGGAGAAAGCCTTGAAGCTGTGTAAGCACTGTTCAGCAATAGCTAAAACATTGGTGTGCTATCAAACTGTTTTGGTCACAAACCCAAAACACAGCACCATACAGGCTGCTATGAAGAAAGTTAACTCAATCCCAGCCAAATGCAGTACAACCCCCAGTTGCACAATTTATTTGCAATGATGCTTCCTGTATAATATAATTCAGACTAGCTTTAATTTACGTTAGCATCACCTATGCTTCACAGGAAGGGATCCTAGAATCCTCCACGCAGGATAAGCTATTAATTTTTGTGAAATTACATTAAATATTAATGTATAACCAGAACAATGACATTCAATAAAACCAGTGATCAGAATGAAATTAAGTTCTCCTAGAAGCAACCCTTCTCCCTTCAACAACAAGCACAATTTTTAAGCCATTGAAATCAATAAAAGCTCTAATGTCCGTTAAAGCAGCTTTAGCAAGGTTAGTTAATACCTCACAGCTCTGCCATCTGTTTGGAATATTGGGCCTTAACTTCTGCTCACACACAACTTTCCTCATTTCTTCAACAGAAGGATCCGAAGGAACGAGGTCATAGTATGGCAACTGGTAATCTTCGTGGATTCCTATAATAGGTTGAAATAGCTTTATTTTAGCTAACACTAAATTGCATATTCTTCATTTTTTACTGTGTTCCTTATCAATACCCTACCATTTTCTTTTTTGGTTTTCATTTTTAAAAATTACACTACAGTGACTGACAAATTAAAAAAAAAAATCCTTAACCATACCTTAGGAGTATTTACGTTACCCTTGAAGAATTTTTAAATTTGAAATTTATATATTTGGAAAAGATGGAAGCTATATCAAATCTTTCATATGCTCTACTAAAGACATGCTTCTTGGAAGCATATGATTTATAATAGCATGTTTTATTTTAAATAAGGTATGGATGTTATCTGAACATATTATAGCTAGCTCTTACTTGTGGTGTTTGCCCCTTGCTCTCAAGTACATTTAAGTTCACCCTTTTCTTCCCTCTATGTAAAGGTTTTAGAAAAAAAATTAATATAGACAAGGATATTCCCTATTTTCTTCAACAGGTACGGTTCACCAATTTACAAAGAAGTTGAATAAACTAGTCATCATTTACAGGATTAACAGTTAGAAAGTCCGAGACATACTGGCTATGACCTTGCGCTGTTTGTTCAGAGTGAACTGTTTACTCAAGCTTATTCAGGTTCTGTGAGTTACTTATAATTCCTTAGTATGTCCAGTTTTGTGAAGATTGCCACATACCACCAATTGAACATCGCCGAGCTATTTCCCAAAACACTAATCCCATTGCATAGATGTCTGCTCGTTTGAATGACTCAAAATGTTTCATATTTATGGAATCATCTAGAACTTCAGGTGCCATGTACCTATTTGCACAAAAAAAAAGAAAACATTTAATTTCATAAATACTTACTGTAGAGAAAGTTCAGTGCTACTGATCAGCTCAAAACCAAATTTAAATATTTATGTGGAAAAAGAGACAAAAAGAAAATCTGCTTCATTCCAATTTAAGACCTTTCAATGCAAAGGGGATAATAAACAAACTGTGAGGAACAAACAAAGGAATAGGGGGAACAAGTAAAACATGAAACGATAAACAGATAGAGCCATAAACCTGATAGACACGGGATAAGAGACAATGACAAAGACCAAAAATCTCCAGTTGCTAATTGATGGGCTATTAACAAACTCCAGGCATAGCTTTATCAAGGGCCAGTCTGGACATTGTAACTGCTAAGAAGTGGGAAACAAGAGGAACACGAGGATTGTGGATATTCAAGGGAGGCATGTGGGACTATGCAATATTTATCAAGGAATGTTTAGGAGAAGGGTAACTGGGAGGAACAAGAGTGGGGCAATAGATAGAAAAAGATATCAAAGGGGCCAGTTGCATAAACAGTTGCCAGTGACTATGCTTGTCTGACCAAGCCCTATACCTGCTCACTGCAATGTATCCTATCTTCTTATTAAATCCTATCTTTCTATGCAATCTCACTCTCAACCCCATGTGCACGTGTGCTTTAAGGACTACAGGCCAGCAACTGGAGGCAGGCATGAGTGAATTCAGGGCTGGCAACAGGAGTCAGACAGGATGAAGTTGCCCTTGGGCCTGGGGTGCCAGCAGCTGGAGAGAAGGGTCTCTGCTTCAGCCACTTCAGACACCATGGGTCACAGGCTTCACAGTCACATGCTTACAGGTACCAGCTACAGGGGAGAACTGGGATGAGAGAAGCAGAGTAAGGGCCTCTCAGCACCAGCAACTGGAGTGGGAATCACAGGTCATAAGGTCTGTGTGCCTGGGTGTCAGCTGCTGGGGTGGGCCAGAAGGTTTGTATTTCCCCCAAACCTGGTATGCATGGCAGGTGTGCATGGGTGTAATTCACTAGCAAACTTCAAGATGGTCTAGCCAGCAAATAGGTGGCCCAGACAGGGATGTTTTACAGGGGGAGGGCCTGTAAGTGCATCTGTTTGCTACTGTGCATTAACCCAGCCCAGCTGATGGGTAGGAGACCTGTGGAGCACAGAAGAGGGCATTAGACACACCGAGAGTTGTACTGATAGTTGAGGGATTCATAAACATGCATGGGCTTGTGAGGCTACAGAAGGGTGGGTGTGTTTTCACTACTGAAGTTCAATCCTGATCAGCTGAAGAGAAGGAAGGAAACTTGGCTGTCTATACTTATATCTTATACAAGTTCTGACAGTGTTTTATGTGGGTGTTGAAGACAGCACATGGTGCATAGCAGTCTGTGTAATCAGCCCTGTCAGTATTCTATGTGTCTGTGTATGCCCAGCCTCACTACTAGTTGATTCCCAAGTAAGAAAGCAGCAGCCACATCCATGGGCCTGGGGTGGACAGAGCCCCAGCCCTTTGGACACACCAGGCTGGGCTCCAGACGCCAGGCAGGAACAAGCCCCAGCTCCTGGAATCTACCAAGATATAGCAGCCACTTATCCCCTAGCAAGACTAGGGAGGGAATAGACATGAAGGTATTGTTAAAAAACAGCAGTGTTTTGGGAACAAAGGCTCCATACCATTGCATAACTGATTTTTCATCATACAGTCTGTAAGTCCCATCATAAACCATGCCAGGCTTTTTTTTTTTTAATGTGTAACCCAAATATGATTTACTATTAACAACTGTGCTCACATGAGAAGTTTACTTTATCAACATTTCCTGCAATAGAAAAATCTGTGACAGACTTTCAACTGAGAAACAAGGGCTGAAAACTGGTCATGGCATTCAACTGATTGTTACCTTGTTTAGTGACTAGGCCTAATGTGGGAACATCAAGCAAAATGTCAGCATGGACCACATTGTGAGAGTTACTGACAGCAGCATCCCTGCTGGCTGCTGGAAAGAACAAATGGTATTTGCTGCATCAGTCAACATCAGTTGTAGTATTGCACTCTCAATGTGGTATAGCTCTGGCAGCTAAATCCAATATGTAATGTTTAGAAGAATTCAGTGTGTTTCTTCACGTCACTGTCCCATCAATCTCAAGCTGACATATTAATGAAGCAGGCAAACAATGACACCAGGGCTTTGGAGAGCACAGTTAACTGGTAAAAAAGCAACACACAGATTACTGGAGTGGAATACAGTGTCAGGCAATAGCTCAACCTCTGGAACAGCCACAGAAGCTTAAACACAATTTCATTTAGTCAACATACTAGGATTTTCTTTTCCTAGTACCAGGGATGGTAGGCAGAATACAAGACACACTAAAAATAAGTTTCAAGGACTATCAGGCCTTTCAGAACTCTCAGCACTACTGTGTCTTATGGAAATGGCATACATACAAGGAAGCAAGGGCTATCAACAAAAGAGCAAAAATGCAACCAGTAGTCCAGAACGTCAACAAGGGTTGCTGATATCAGAGTTCTCCTAAGCACTGTACAGGCATACAAATTCCCCACAAGTGATAAATACAGCACAAGCAGAGGACAACTGTCTGAAGAGGAATGTAAGGTTTACTTTGACAGTATTTATTGAATGGAAGCAGAGTCTTAAGTTTACACGTCACAATCTTTGATATGGACAAGGCTCAAGTTATTCTAGGCCACCTGTATGAGAAACTTTTTAATCAAGAAAGCAAGATTGTGGTGGGTGTTTTAACGCTCTCCAAGGATTTTGGATTATTGGATAATCATCTTACACTACTTCATGTACTTGACACTAGAGTGATCAGCTTTGGGTCTAGAAGAAAGAATATTTGATCTATCTTAAGATAACAAGGGCATGAGAAGAGTGATGGAGCTGGAAAAACACCAAACCAAAAACCTCAACCATGTTGCAAGACTGTCGCCAGAATCACTTATACAAGCAGTAAAGGAGACTGTCCTTAGGATGATTTACAGAAACTGAGGCAAGGGTTTTAACAGGAAAGACCATAAGAGGCCTGAATGTGGCAATGGAGCTGAATTTATACCCTCAAAAGGAAAAAAAAATCCTTCCCCCCTGCAATGTGACTTCCATTGAATTTATTGGCAAATTGACCTCTTACTATGATCCTCCATCAATGCATTTAGACTGGCTTTGGCTTCCATAATACAGAATGGTGACTGACTGCTCAAAAAGTCTGAGAGCTTATTGCTGGAACAAGAGAGGCGAAAGGCAAGTAGGTCATCTAGTGCGTTTAGCAGATTAGCCATTTCATGGCTATGAGACAAAAGGGAGAGAAACATGCATCTCCTTGTCAGTTTATATATTGGAAATGCATTGCTTGTCAGAAATAGTGTTTTAGGTTCTAGAGAAAGACTACTCTACATAGACTAACTTTGACCTTCTGAACAAGGTCTGCAGCTCAGTACCCTCCAAGAATGAAAGGATAAGTCTACAAAGAAGTTTATAAGTTATGTTGAGCATGGCCTTGCCAAACTTGGGGTGCCTGATGACCTCTTCCCCCCCACCCCTTTTAGTCCAAAAGCTCTGTATTAGTTGCCCAAATTTCTTGTACAACATATAGGGAGCTTGGTGTCAAACAGAACCCATACAAAACATGTTGAGTGTGACATCTCCTTTCACCAAGCCTTGTCTCCACAAGCATAGTTAGAACTCTGCTCATACTGTGTTTAGGTAAACTGCAGAAAAGCACCCATGTTAAGGTAGAATTCGCAGAAACTTTTTTAAAACATAGCCTATTTCAACTACCAAAAGTAACAGTTGGGCCACACTTCTCAAAAGGAAAAAAAAAAAAAGGAGAATTAGGTTTTTTTTTTTTTTTTTTTTTACACTTGCCTCAGTGAGTGAGAAAGGGATTCTATTTCCTTCTCAGTTTAAAGCTCACGTTCCCTGCTTTATGCTGCAGGCTGAGCTGTGAAAGCACACCCTCTGGTGAAGCTAAGCCTCTGAACAGAAAAGAAATAAGTATTCATTCAGTCAGACAGAAGGATCATCAGGCTGATTCAGCACCTAGATCACTCGCCCAAGAGTCTTGCTTGCTCCCTAGACCATACATTTTTACAACAGACAATCATTAGAAAAATACAAACTTAGTCAAATCTCCCTGAACTTGCACACAGAGCTTCCACGTGCAGAAAAGGTACCAGCAGTGGCAATCACTGGGAGTTAAAATTGTCACTGAACAGGTAAGAACAGAACTTTATTATGAAAAGTTAACCAGATGTGCAGAACTACTTACCTAAAAATGCACAAGAGGGAGGAAGAGGGGACCAAGCCTTTTATGAGAATGAACAATTTTCAGAGAGGTAGAAATGACTAATGTCTTTAAAGTGGGAAATAGACTTAGTCCTGCTGCTGCCCGCTGCAGCAACCAAGAGAGTTACTACAGCTTTACCCTTGTGAAGAAGCATAAGGCAGATGAACAAGCAATTTAATAGCACCTATGCAAGAAGAGATCCTGTAAGTGGGATCTACAGACACAGCTGAAAGGATGCTTTCTCCAAAGACTAGACTCAAGAAGGCAACTGATTTGCACATCATTTTCCTTTGCATGTAGGTGTAGTAGAAAATACTAAGTCACATGCGGTATGCGCCCTGCACACTTAAGTTTGCAATGACAAATTCTAAAGTAGTCTGCTGTTTTACTACCAATGATTACCGGAGACTTTAAGAAGGAATAATGCCCAGTACTTTGTAATCTAGTAGCAGTTCAGAAAATAAGTCTCGTCTGACCATTTGTGTGGTATTTTTAAAGCTGGCAAAGGACTAGTACAGCAGAGCTTTAGCACAAAGTAGTTTCGGCGATACAATTGTCAGTTAAATAATTTTTCAGTACATGTTCTAAAAGCTTTTCTTCACTGAGCCTTAAAAAAAAGGGGGTTTTTTCTTCCAAAAAGCCACAGCTAAAGTGGCATCCTAGTTCATCGTAAAACTCCAATCACCGCCCCCCCAGCAGTATCACTCACTAAAGAGATATACATAAAAAAATATTTTTTATGTATGGATTGGAGATTGGGCAACATGAATACAGAATTTTCTCCAACACTGCTAGGGCATATGATGAAGTTAATCATGTACAGCCCTGAACCACTGGGCTTCCACACATTTCTCTGACAGGCGTACAAACTTCACTTTGACATACCACTGAACCTATAGACATCAAAAGGACAAAAATTTGCCCACATCACACAACTCTGTTGCTGTGGTTCACTGCTAGTGCTGCTATCTCTGTATGCTGTATAGCTGCACAGGTTACTAAAGGAAATTAATCTTCTCTTCAGAACATTTTCCAGTTATTACTGTGTGAAGGTCCAGCAATGATAAATTACAGCCAGTAAGTTTAATTGCACTTGTGTTGATGGAGTTAAACAGCTCTGAGTTCAAGGACAAGAAAATCTGTATTTCCAAATTCAGAAGCAGGCCTTTAAAGGAAAGGGAGTATACTGACTCATCCATTGATAATTCTATTTATGCTTAGATGACAAAGATGACTGCTGTTTTAAGTTCTCGTATTTCTCTCAAAAATACGATCCCACGAAAGCCCGCATCCAAGACTCTGCATCTTGTATGTTCTACCACATAGGCTTCACACCAAAAAAAAAATCCAGCTTTTTACTTTCACTGTCAATCTCCTGTCTTACACTCCAGATTGGTCTGCAAGCAACATTTCCATGCAACACAAGGCAAAAAGAATAAAGATACAGCAGTGAAGTCTCCAAAACTGTCATTCATGAAGTCTCCTAGTTGTTTTAATATATACTTGTGCCCTACAATATTTTGCAAGTTTTTGGTATTTTACACATGCTAGTAATAGATGCCAAGATTCAGCATGCTTTTTAAGCACCTACTGTCTAACTAAATTACCAGCTGGCAAGGAAGTGCCCAGGAAGTCTACCTGCCATTATTTACGTTTTCCTGCTGCTGGTGTTTGTACCCACAAAAGTCTTCTATATGGGACAAGAAAAACCAAAGCATTTTATTCTAAAAATCACCTGATACATCATGTTAATGATTTTTACCTTTTTGTTCCCACTCTGTGGTTTGGGGCAATATCAATTGTGTCTGTAGCTGAATCATGCCTAACTGCCAATCCTAGGTCTGCAATGCAGCATGTTCCATTCTTTTTTACCAATATATTCTTTGATTTCAAATCTCTGTGGGCAATCGCTGGTTTGCCTGTAAGGGGAAAAAAAATAGAAATAACACACCTGTAAAAAAAGATCATTGCTATTATTCTAAGCCTGGTGCAGCTTTTGTTTGAAGTTACAGAATTCCTTCCAGTTCTGCTGCTTTATGTGCATCAAGGTAACTCCTGAAATCATTCATTGTGGACTGGCTGGCTGTCCAGAAAAGTGCCTTAAATGTCTACTGTATTACTCCACTCTACTGCTCCTTTCCCTCCTCCTTAAAGTATTTATTGCATACACATACTACTTGCCATAAAAACGTTTCTAATATCTCTGGAAATAGACCCATAGTGCTGTCTCAAATTAAAGTTAAGATGATAATACAGGCACCATTACTTAGGGCCTTTTAATAGGTGTTTTGTAGGAAGGATTGTTACATCACAAAGTCTGGATATACTGTAGAAAGGAAGGTAAAAAAGCCTTCCAAACTAAGAAGTTCTATTAGTTCAGAAATTATCACAGGTCCCAAACAGACATTTTTCAGTTCACTCAGCTCCACATGGGATTAACTTGGGTATCTGTGCTGATTTCAGCTGCCTTCTCATCACATAAGTAAGTAGCTGTGTGCAAAGCAACTACACCCTGAAAAGGCTGAATGTTCTAATTAGAAGAGAGTTATAGTAGAAAGAGCTACCTATGTGTCATTTTTTAAAAATCCAGTATCATGCACATGACAGGCTGAATAGTTATAAAATTACCTTGCGTGCCAACAATTTCCATGTGAAGATGGGCAAGACCACTGGCAGTGGACAAAGCTAATTTTATCATTCCTTCCACTGTTACTGTATACCTGTTCAGGTAATCAAAGAGTGATCCATGCTCATGATAGTCTGACACCAACCACAGCTGAGTCCACGTACCGTTGTCTGCAAAATAACACTGCATGAATACCACACACACAGAAGACAAGCAAACCATATATGCCACTTTTATACAATGCTTATGAAGTATAAATTATGTTTTGCAAGTAACCTCAGCCAAGTAAGACTCTTAAATCTTTACTTCTATCCCTATAACATTTAAATGCCCCTGTAATGGATGGGACTACCATGCCAGACTTTCTGAACAGCTTTGTGAGTATTCTTTTATTTAAACTAAAAGACAAACCATAGAAAGCCGATGTCACTATGATTCTGAGGTGAACTATTAGCCAGACCCTGCCTTCCCCTAACTTTTCTGCTTGGGGGTGCGTGTGTAGGAACAGTGCTGATGAATGCATGATGCAAAACTAATCCTGTCACTATCGGTCTAGTACAGTATTGTCCAGGCTACCCATAAAAATGTCTTTCAAGCTTTCCCCCGTAATTCCTTCAGTCTTCCCATTATCTCCTAGGCTGAGGCCAGATAGGTTATTTCCACAGTTACCAGTGGCTGGTGGATTTTAGCTTCTGGAGTAGAAGCTTGCAAGCAGCAATCAGACACTTTACTTCAAAATCAAATTCAAATCCCACCTCTGGTGACCTCTAAGTTGCTGGCCAAAATTGAGGTTTCCAAGAGGCACAAGGGTAAAGAGACAAAAAACACTGATTATGAGAAAACCAGTTTGCTGTATGATTTTTCACTGAACTATGGCGAACAAGACAGGCCATAATGTATTTGCAGATATCCCAAGGCATACAAATGACAGATAAAGAACTAAATTGTTCACATTATTAAACTAGTGGACACAAAATACCTTGAAGTTTAAGCCACAGAGAGAAGACTATTAAAGGAATTCAAATCAGGAGGAAGGCAAAAGTTTTTTGACCTAGGAAGTAGAAATATACCCAGAAAAGAACAATCCTGCCACCAAACAGTTTTCCAGTTTTGTTTTGTTATAAAAGCAACTCATACAGCAGATCTGAGAAGTGTGTTTACAGCTAGCTACTTCTGTAGAAGAGTGTCATCTTTGTAAAAGACTAGTTATCCCATAAAAGACTTCTATTGGGTATTTATCCTGAATTATAGATCCACGATTCCTTAACTACAAGTAAAAAAAACTCAGCACAAGCCAAAAGAGATTTCATTATGCAGTAGTCCCTAAAGGTTATCAAAATGCATACTCAAGAACTAAATATGAAGACTAGGAAGGAGAGAAGTGAATTCAGAAGTTAGTTCCTATCATAAACATACTGAAAAATTTTTAGTTTCCAAATAGGAAGTTCTTACACTTCCTTCCCCTCTTCCTCCACTCCCCTTCAAAGAACACACTTGGCCCAGAAAGGTCAGAGGCACAAAATGCCTGCTCTACAGATTGATAGAATCTACCTTTATAGAAGTACTTGTGCTTATCTTTAAATAAGCACTTGGGTTGGGGTGGGAACTTTCAGGCATCCCTTCTACTTGGATGTTTCTAGGGAGGCAAGCGACACCATTAAAAATAATTTAAAAAAATAATTAAAAAGCCACCAAATGCTTCAGAGTAGGGAAATAAAAGTCTAATCTACATTCAAACAATTCTCATCATGGAAACAGAATTCTGCCTTGCTACATTCACAGAATAGTCTCAACTAAGTTGTTAACAGGCAGAAGAAAGCAGTCAAATGCTCTAACCTGTAAAAGACTGTTAGAAAGCTACTATTGCAGTGAGAAGCTTCCTGTAATATGCCCACAGAAGTGACTCCTAAGCTTTGTTTTTTGAAAAAGAAAAAAGGAAATTAAAGATTTTTTTTTTAAATCTCTTCAATTATTTTATAGTTAGGACTGCTGCTTCTTTTGCTACTGTGCATATCCAAGCATGAACTCATAGAACTCAGCATGCTATTAAATGTGACTTTTTCCAAAGAGAATTATGGTCTCTGAAAAGTCAATCCAACAGTATTAGTTTCACTGAACCAGTTTTACAGAACTATTAGAAATAGGTATGTGTTCACAGGCATATAAAAGGTACTCTCCAATGCATACAGTCAAAGAGCTCTAAAAAGTTGTAGAAGTTCAAAATAAACTACCTTAATCAGTTCAGAATATTCTCTTCACTCAGCTTTATTCTACTGCTTCACCAGTTATAATCCTACATTGCTTGAAATAATCTTCTCCTGGGCATTAACGCTATACACAGTCATTGCTTGACCCTGTATTTGATTTCTTCTCCTGTTTCTTATCAATGGGATACCTCAACAGGTGTCTAAACTAGACAACAATAAGTAGGGAAATCAGTAATCTAATTTTAAGTAGTCTACCAGACCTATTGTATTTAAACAGATCTTTTAAAGACATGTCAAAGTTTCTGAAGAATTATCATTGCTTTGAATCAAGATTATAATGTCTTTGCATAAAGTTTTCCCCCTCTTAACTCTAGGCGCCCACCTAAGAAGTGATCATGCTGCTAAGAAGTGATCAAGTATTTCGTCCTACTTCAGTTTTATCTTATTTATTACCTGCAAGTCTTAATATTCAGTCTGTTTTTACCTTCCTTCCAAAGGAGAAAAAGCTGGGCTTACTATCCATTCTGAAAGGTGCCATGATTCTTTCCTATTGTATGTCATATTTATGGCCCTCCAACCAGATTAAGAAGGGCTAGTGCTACATCCAAGCTTACACGAATAATATTAATTACAGACAAGCTGAAATGCAGCAATAATTACAGTGTCCAGCTATTAGATGGGACCTACTACATTTTCTTTACCTTGCTATATTTGACAAGCTACACATTTGTTTAGCAATCTAAGCAGAACACGTTATGATGAACGTCAGTCTTCTTACATTGTTGACAGTAGTTAATTATTACCAAGTAATAATTAACCTGACCCTGAGTATTTTTGGCTGCACAGTAAATATCTGTCATGAAGCTTTCAATTACAGGATTTGCATTATCAGGTAAGAAAAAGTAATTACGCTCAGTAGTAATTACATACAGTAGCACAGCCTTCCATGACAAGGTAACCTAATTCAGTTCACATACACACCATGATCAAGAATCTCAAGTAATTTCAGAATGTTCAAGAACATTACAAAAATTTACGTTATGTTCTTGGAAACCATTTAACAGATTAATTATGGTTATTTCATCTGTTTGCAAGAAACCTGAAAGTATTTTAGACCATCAAAATCACTCAAAGAGGTTTTTCTTTTGCAGTTCTAACAAAATTTGAAATTCTGAGTAAAGCAGCTTTCAGATTTGTTGTTAGAAGACTGATTACAGTTTGAGAAAAACATTAGTGAAGTCCAAGCAACATCCATCTTATAAATTCCTTTCTTCAAAAGGCAGCTTTTCTAACAACTGCTTTATCAAATATATTATCAAGTTTCAATTAAAATTGACTGAATTAACTTCAGTGAAAAATGCTTTTTTCACATTGGTACTAGCAAAACAAAAATTTGGACTTGTCACATGCTTGTTTTTAAAGCAAATACTAGGTTTTAAGGTGTGACAGTATTGCTTGGTACAAGAGTTTTGAACTGCAGACTTATGTTCCAAGTTGAACGTTTAAAAGAAGTTACAGAAACTGCCTAATTGCATGTGTTCTCTAGTGTCATGTAGTAAAGTGTTTCAAAGCAGAGAGTGGGATACATTAGCCTTTTTTGGCATGCAGATAATGTAACAGAAAAAACAGAAGAGAAAGCAGTGAAAAGATCAGATACAGATGGGATCTATAACTAGAAAACTCTTAGAAATGAGATATTCAGGAAGATGTTGGGGAAAACACTTTTGTCTGTGGCTGGAAGAGGACTGGTATTTTGTTAGTGAAACAGCTTGACTATCATATTGAGAGAGTCATCTGATTAAATTGATGAAAAGCACTTGAGCTGTGTAGATTAACAAGATCTTCCAGTCAAATTCCTTCATCTCAGGCTAAAGCCAGAGCTTCAAAAAGAATAAATGGCTCAAATATTACTTTTCTCAAGAGGAAGAAATTCTGCTCACTTCTCCACAGCATATTGCCTAATGTCATTCTTGGGGATCTACTTACCATGTAAGGTAGTCTGACTGAACAAAACTTTAACCTAGGGAAGTGCAGCTTTCAATTAAGGGGAAGGAATGGAGAGGCCAAAGTATTTCAGTGCATAAGATATCTGAAAGTATGCAGTACAAGCTTCACCTTACTTGTAATGTGACTACAGACAGTTATGGTTACAGACAGCTAATCCAGGGAAACCTTTAGTACTGTAAACAGAGGTTGCTGCCACTGCTCTTCTGCTAGTAGCATAGTGCAGATAAGTAGTCCCTGATACACTTTACAATCAAGTATCTAGGTTAGAAAGAACAAAAAAACCTCACCACCCAAACCCCAAACTATCTGTTTAGGTAGTTCAAAACAAGGCAACATATGGCCCAGAAAGTTATTTCCCTGATCTAGCAGTATTTGAAAGTTAGCATATACTCCTGGCTAAGTAGAGAGCTACCCAGAACAAAACATGCTAGACAGACAGAACACAACTGCAGTTAAAATCATTCATTGCTTCTCAGCCCTCAAGCTGGCTTAACAGCAGCACCTATTTCCCAGTAAATTTTGGGATGGGAAAGCAGATGGATTGGACCAGCTCCTGTAGCCTTCAGAACACCATACAGCTGTGGGGAAGTAGAGGAGGGGGAGGAGGAAGAGAATGTGCCATTAAGGCACATGGAATGTCTAAACAGTGTAGTAGAACAAGGAGTGAAGACAGTAGTTCAGTCACAAGCTTTATGACTCCACCATCTAAGCTGAACACCACTGACTTAGCTGATCTATCTTGCACTTGTAAACACTTTCTAATCTATACGTGCACCCTTCTACCTGAAGCCACCCCCCACCCCCAGTTTTACAACTACAATGGCCAGCCAAGTGTCCCCCAGCAGCTGTGAAAAATACACAGTTGCGTTAAGAGGAGAGACCTAATTAATGCCTTTACTAGTAGCAAGAATTGCAGCGTGACACTGGCCCACATTTACACCACAAACTACATGTCAGGAGATAACAAGTCCTCAGCATTCATGATGGATACACGAGAACCTACTCCTGAGAATTCTTCTCCATCTATCACCGAAGCTTTCAGCAAGCACTGAATCGGGATTGCACAAGAAGCTCCTTGTACTGCTATATCTCTGTTGTCATCTTTCCAAGGTCTCAGACACACAGTCAGATTCTTACAGCCTAATGACTTTGTGCACTCCAGCTAGGCTGTAGTAACTCCTGAATGCATTCAACAGTCTGCCCTATGGAGAAATGGATGCAAATCCTTCACAGCTATTATTGCTGTGAACTAATACTTTGTCTTGCATCTGGCACTTAATAAGCATTTATCAGTTAACAGTCTTTCATTGTAGATGCTGGTGCTAATAGTTGTTTTTAAGCCATTGGTCTCTAAAGCCATGTTATGATACACTTGCTCCTTTTGAGTACCATGATAGCACACCTGCTAAACTGGAAGAACTACCTCCATAATGGTCCCTCTATGTTCTCCCATTTAATGGAATACAGGTGGCCTGAAGTATTCTAAACAAGAGTTGAAGTATTAACCTCCTTCAATATTCAGGACTTCTGAATGCTTAACCTACAGAGAGAATGCTGCATACATATTTCCTTGCTGAGGGAATGCAGAAGGTTATACTGAAAACTCTGCATTGGTGGGTTAAAAATAATAACCCAGCTTTCCACATCTGCTCAGACAGCAATACTGTTAGAGTCAAGAATAGCAGCATTTTCAAAACACATCTTTATCCATTTTTCGTAAACCGATTACCAACTAGTTCAAGAAAACAGAAGAGCCTTGCCTTAAAGCCTCAAATAACAGCATGACCTATCAACTAAGGATTTTTTCTTTGTATGTACAGCATACTAACAACAGAAACCAGAAGCAATTTTATATCACATTATATTACAAGGAACCTAAAGATGACCAAGTCAAATGGAATTTCATTCTATTGCATCTGGAACCTGAGCCAGCAATCAGGAAGTTATTTTAGGAACCCACTTGTTTAGGAAGCCTTCCTCATACCTCTTCTGCACAGTAGTCAAGTGTATTTTTGGAACAAACTATCTATGGGTTTGGGGCAAAATGGGAGACTGGTATGCTTAACCACAGAGATTCTGTTAGAAGTTATAGCTAAAGTATTGCAATATATCCTTTATGCTTTTAAGTGAGACTTTAGTACCTAAAGCTTCTGTAGAGATGGATTTTCACTTAGGTCTTTAATGTAACTGATCTACTAATTTTAAACCCAGGCTCCAGATACTCTACTAGGTCCATCAGAACAAACTCAAGCTCTCACAGGTGCTATTAATACGCAATACAACTTTAGGCATGAAAGTAAGACAGTTTTCTAATGGTAAGCATAATAAGCTGCAGGAAAAAGTTGCCTGGTATGCTGTAACTCTGCAGACTGTTGGAGGTTAACAAGTTGCACAAACATCTGTTAGGAGCAAGTTAACTATAGCTAACCCTTTCCTGGAGAAGGGAAGTGTTCTACACAACCCCTTCAGTTCCGTTCCAATTCTACAGTTTTATATAGATACAGAAACTTGAAATTAATCTAGTGATAATTAAAGAGAACTCTATTTACACGTATACTTCAACTACACTAAAACCATTTAGGAATTTCCCACACAACCAAGAGTCCTTTAAGAATCCAAGATGTGTGTGGATTCTTGACTCCTCCCCAAGGTGACAGAATTTTCTGTTAATGCTTTCTTTGTAAAAAAAGTCAAAGGCCACTTGTGGTGAAACGTAATTTCAGATTAAAATAACTGAATGAAACAGCATAACACTTTAGCTCCCCTTAATGTAAGAAATTCAAAACTTTTGTTGGTTTTGCAAATTTTCATGTCTTCAATTGGACTGCAGGAAAACCCAAGAAACTTTAATCTGACTGAAACCACAACAAATCAAGTTGAAAAAATGGTTAAGATGTTCCTCTTAGTGGATACCTAAAGGCTTATCAGGCAAGCTTCCGGAAACAGATACAGTGGTTGTTTTTTTTGTTTGGTTTTTTTTTTGTTTTTTTTTGTTGTTTTTTTGTTTTTGTTTGTTTTTTTTTTTTGTTTTAATACGAAGAACAAATCATTAATTCCCTTTTTCCAATTTCTTTTCTAACTGGAGTTCTAAACAAATCACTTCTCATATATCAGCCTTAAAAATAAATCCTCTACCTCCTACTTTATTTTAGGGCAACAGGATTAGACATGATCTCTTTTGGTCCAACACATCTATCTTATTAGGCAATTAGGAAAGTACAGGTATTCAGCAGATGTGTGGGCTGACAGGATAAGGCATCTCATTTTTGATATCAACTTAACTAGTATTTTAACTTGCTTGTTGAAATTATACCTCATTAAACGTGCAATAATTTTTTTTAGATTTAACAAAGCATGTTTTCCAGAAAAATGAAAATGTACTCTTTTTTCCTTCATTAAACCTATGAAAAGCCTGCCAAACTCTGATATGCTCCAGTAACAAAATTATTTTTTGCTACTCTTAATTGGATCCTCACAACTTTATCTTCCCCTCCAATTACCATCTATTCTGACTGGGCACACAATCAGCAAAATGAATTCATAGTATCACTAACCTTTGTTGTCTGCAGCTATAAATCCAAGAATGTTTTCATGCCGTAGCATAACTGTTTGATAAATTTCTGCTTCACGAAACCATGAGCGTTCCTCTCTTGAAGAGAAGATTTTCACAGCAACTTCTTCTCCTCTCCACTTCCCTCGCCAGACTTCTCCAAAGCGACCCTTACCAATGCTTTCTTGAAGTACTATAGTTCTTGCAATTGTTCTTTGCACAAGCAAAGGTAAACCTAAAAAGAAAATTTAACATTAACCTTAAACATCACTAACAAAATAAGTACTTATCATAAGTACTAAATGTAAGATCTGTATTCCATCAAGATATTTCTCTTAGAATGCACATAAACTCTTAAGATGTTAACATCTTGTTGCGAACTGCTAATAACCACGTAGGTAAGATGCTGCCTTCAACCTTAAAGGCCAACAAAACAAGTACTCAAAGATTATGCTACAAACTGCCTCTACAGTTTTTAAAAAGAAGGCACAAACTTCCTTTCAGTTTAGAATTTTGACAGTTGTTGATCCATAAAGTTTTATTTTAATGAAAAAAAGAAACAAACCACGAAGCAATCAGGAACAGGATTGAGGGTGGTGGTTTGTTTTTTTGTTTGTTTTAAGAAAAGGATCTGCCCATAACTCTCCTGGCAAAGCAGTTCAAGAGCACTTTTGCTACGGATTCATTTACTCGGTCCATTTCTAAGTTAAAGTTAAACCATGCTTATCAGCAAGACTGACTGTCAAACATTCACACTCATGCCCAAGCGTGCCAGTAGCCTGTTAGTACTCTCAAGCCACTGTAAAATAGGAGAACATCCTTGTAATGCAATCTTCCCATTTTACAGGCCATTCTTGTGCATCTCACTATAATTACACTCGAGAAAAATGCTTACATTCATGAAGGTTTTATAGCTTTGGAACATCTACATGCTTTCAACTCCCAGCACCTCATAACATGCTTCAGTAAGTTTATACAACGAACAAGAAGCACTGGCATCCCCCAATGAGGGTGGGTTTTTGTTTATTTGAAATCTTTCCTGTTGTAACTGCAAGGCTCATCACAGAATTCTGCAGTAATACTACACTGCAGGATGAATGCATCAGACAGGTTATCTGCTCACAATAAGCTCTTTTGGTATAGGATCTTAAATCAGACACTTTACAAAGGAATCTATTAACTCCATAATCACTATTTCAATAGCTGATAGAAGAACATCTGTATTTCCTCATGCTATAGAAAACAAATCCCAACTAATAGCTCAAATAACTAGTTCCTGTCCATCTCTGGACATTCTTTGCTAACAACAGCACTAGAAAAGGACATCTGATCTGGTCAGCAGCATTGCCATGCTTGTGTCTCAGTCTGAGGAGTGCAGAAATCATAACAAAGTATCCTCAAGCCTTCTGAGAGTTTAACAAAAGAGTTCTTTTTCTTTTCCATATCTTAACTGTACTCTGCCTAGTTTGGACCAATGACCATCCAATGCATAAGAAGTTTGTACCTGATTTGGATAATTCAGGAGTTAAGGAATTAAGTTCTAAAGCACTAAAGGTAGCCAACAAAAGCAGCTGCTAGAACTTTGTTCTTGTTCATGTCTCTGCCGAAAAGACTTCCTCTGAAGAGTAATTAAAAAAAACCAACCCCATGAACAGTGAAAAATCTCATTCCCTTCAAGCTTCTATGAACCACAGATAAGTTTTTAAGGAATTTTACATTCACTTCAACTGACTCAACTTTACACTGATTTTTGTGACCCTTTGGATTTCTAAACACTAAGTTCCTGCTTGAAGTCACCTACCAACAATAACCAAAGCTTCTCCCCCTGTTTTAGGCAATTCTTCCCATTTCCTTGCAACTAAGTTACTTTGTCATTTGTGAGTTGGATAGTAACAGCTGGGCATCCTAACCTGTCTATACAATGTAGTTGATATTGAGAGATTTACATCATGATCTGAAAATTACTCTCAGCTTCAAGAGACTGAAATCCTTCTCTTAGAAGCTGTGACTTCAGCAGAAGGCTCCATTTTAGATGTTTCATCAGTTCCTTTCATCAAGCCTCTAGCTGTTTCAGGTCTTGTTCGTCATGGAACAAGAGGGCAATACTAACAGAAGTCAAGGCTGAATAATTAATAACAGCTTACTATTCATCATTGCGGAAAATGAATCCTACTTCCCTTTTGATCTGAGTAGGAAGCTCATTTTTAGAGTTTTGATCACTTCTGTTTTATATGCTTCTCTTCAGACAATACCATAATACAAAACTGGTAGAATCCTTTTTATTTGACTACAAGCTCTTTTGGTCCCTCAGCATGAATTTAAGAGCAGAACATGTACTTTAGGCCACCAGACCAAACACTTCCTTAGTCTGGATTATTTTGTCTGTTCTGTACATTTCCATTGTGTTTCTTGCAACCTCTTGCCCCAACAGCATCCCTTTCACACAGTTCAGTCTCTGACAGGGTTAAGCACTATTTTAACTAGCAGCTCTGACTTTTCTCCCTTCAGTGACCCTGTTCCCCACCCCCAGTTTATTCCATAAATGTACAGTCTTCTCAATTTTAAATGTGCTGTACCAAAGCCTGGACTAAAATACACATTTCAATGAGATTCAATCGCTGCAGGCATATTTCAGGACACAAGAAAATTATCAGTTCAAGTGCTACGGCACTGTGAATTTATATAGTCATTGATTGACTAATTCTGAGACAAAGTGATACAAGTCATTGCAAATATATGTACACCGCCAAGAGTACAGAAAATAAGTACTTAAAGCACCTCCTATCCCACTGTCATAATAAAAGGGAAGTACAGAACACTACGTAAGGCTAATACTTGTCTTACAAACAGCTGAACAACATGGAACTCTGCAGCTGAAGTTAAGAGATCACTCTTAAGGAAACAGTCTTGTTTTACAGGGAACCGACTTTGTCTTTCAAGCATAAAAAGAAATTAGTGAAAAGCTTTCCTTAGGGGTAAGTCAAATTCAACCATATTTGTTGCTTTTCTTCCTCTGATGCAGCCATCAGTAGCCAATGCTCAAATACTGAAGTAGGTCAGGTGCTCTGGGAGCCTAGACCAGCTTGAGTGTCCTGAAGCTCTGAAAACTGAGTAATTCCCCAGCATGCTGCTTTTACTTAAAGTGTAATTTGCAAACAGGCAAGGGAAGAGTCAGTAGTTTCTAACCATTTGCTCCCTGGAGGAAGAATCCTAAGTTTCTTCTAACTGGGATTCCCCGCTTTTCAAGAGCTTATTTTGAAGGAGTACTTCCAGAGTTTTCAAACATGAAGAGAGGCTCAGAAGCGCCACAGGGAAGAAAGCCAGAAGGAAAACTTTAAAGGCTTTCTTTCCTGGGTTTACTGAAGTGATAGCAGCTAGTACATTGCAGATGACTACTTATACATATACAACATACACCTGCTCTTTTAAGGTTTAACTTTTTTTAAAAAAATTAGAATTTCTTTTCAGCCTTCTTTAGGAAAACTCTGTACCTGCAGACACTAAGTAAAGAGTTTTATGCTCCTAATAGTGTAACAATTATATATCATAGCTTCCTGAATTCCAAGAAATGTAAGTCTCCAACTCCTTCACATTCTCTTACTTCTGTATACCCCTCCTAGAAAGGTCATAACTGGAGGAGTAAGTCCAGCATTTGCATTTATCAAGTTCTAGCCCAATATATTGGAAGTTCTATTTATCACTATTTGATTTAGTTATCGCTGTTATAAATGAGAAAATTGAGATAAACACAAACTACTAAAGCTCCAGTTCTAACCAGAGAGCAACTTACCCTATCATGATTAAATCTTATTTGGACACACAAAAACTTTCTCAATTGAAACATAACTGCCTACACACTCGGTGCAACCTCACCTTCTTCAGCAAAGATATGACTAAAGATGACTTATTTTGACCTATGTTCTAAACATGTTCAGCAAGTTACATTGATTTTACTTGATAGAGCAATGGACTCTAAACAGTTTTACCAGTTACTACCCTTGGGAAAGAAACACAATCTAGGTGCTTGGGTTTTGTTGTTGTAATTTTTTCCAATTCTGGGAAATTAAAGAATTCAGTAGTTGAGAATCAAACACCAGTATTTCTTTGTAGAAAGTACTCTGAAAGAGCATGGATGTTTCAGCACATATATTTGCAAGTAGTAGGAATAATTTTCAGTATTAAATTATTTAAATTTTATATAGCAGAAGGCTGGTAAGAGGCTGCAGTACGCAACCCGATGTCTGACTCCTTAACATGGACCAGAGATTAATTAATTTATACAATGATTTAAGAGGCTGCAGTACGCAACCCGATGTCTCACTCCTTAACACGGACCAGAGATTAATTTATACAATGATTTATCTGACACATCATCCCCTATCAACACCTATTAAACCATATTTCTGTGACACAGTCCACCACAATCCTATAGGCAACTATGTCAGGATTACAATAGCAGAGACTATACACAGTGAACAGACTACTGCCTCATCTTCCCAGAGCAAGATTCTGACCTGTTAAAAGTCAGAATGTAAACAAAAATTCATGAAATCAAGGGATAGAAATTCTTCAGACGTGGTCTGCATACTGCATCCATTCTATACACATAGAAATGGCTATTTGCAACTGAAAAATTATCTTCTGTAAGGAGAGAACTGGCTAAAATATTAACTCAGAATTCAGAATATTCTTCATATACCAATAGCTACAGATATAAATTAATTTTCAGATTAAAGCTAAAGAAAGAAAACTTCAGAAGTTATTTCAAAACCACAGAAGATGGTAATTTAGATATGCTGTGCAGAACAAAAAGGTAAATGACTGAGCCTTACTAGCAGAGGAAACAAAACACTTAACAATAGCTGACTGTGATATTCCCTGACTGTGCTCTCAGAATGATGAGGAACAGTTGCAGCAACTGAATGTTTCTTTTATTTCACTTATTTCCATATATTGAATCTTCACTGATATTGAATGAATCTACACGGAAGTAGCTTTTCTAAATTTTAAGTAGATTTGACAATATTAGAAAAAATTGATGCCTTACAAGGCTCTTGTCACACTTCTAGTGGTAATTACTCTGTGTTTATTACCTGACCCAGAGCCTGAAGTTGTCATATCATAAATTAAATCCTTTAAAGTAGTTCCTTCCGATATAAAGGGACGATCCAGTGAGGGATCTTCTTCACTTGGCACACGATGATGAATTACAGTACGATTATGACAAAGATATAGAATCAACATTAGTGAAATGCAGACAAAGCAGACAGGTCCAGCAATGACAGCAGCCAGTTCCACAGGTCCTAGATTAGAAGCTGGTTTTCCTGGAGTAGGGCCTGACAGTAAAAATAAGAGAAAAAGGTAAAACTATTTCTTTCTATGCAACTAAATTTATTGTATTTCGCAGTGATCTTCAAATTATTTCAATTTATTTGTTAAAACTTTTGCACAGTAACTTTTTCAAGAATCAAAGTAAGTATTACAAAGGACAGAAGCAATTATGTGCTTACTCAGTTTCCTTTTAACTTGCATATAAGTCTTCAAAACTGGCCCTAACATCCCTATCCAGAAGATTAAATTTCTTGTTCCAAATCTCTTGAAGTTTTATTTGCAGAATCTAAGGTGTACTTTAGGCCTTCAAATTCACCTACAACTTCAAAACTGAAACTTCCATTCTTACAGAATTTTGTTTAAAAAAAAATCAAATATGCCAAAACCCCTTACCTGGTGTTGGAATTGGAAGTTCTATTTTATTGCAGTGGTCTTTGTCACAGCAATGAGGCAGAGTAATGACTCCATCTCTGGCGGAGGGGGCACAAACAAACGGCCTGTCTCGGGGAATCAGATCAATTTCTGCTATACACATACTATTGTGTATGACTTTGTCTGCAGTTCGTGTTACTGAGGTAAAACATAGCCCATCTGTCACACATGTAAAGTTGTCTTTTGTACATAGATGGCAGTAACACTGTAATGCTGTATTGAGAAAAAACATTAATGTTAATATTGGTACGTGTTCTGAGTTGAGAAACAACTTGAATGACTAAAGAAATAAAAGTTCAAAACACTGGGAAGCCTATAATCTTTTTTGTTACATAAACACAGAACTGTAACACTAAAGAACAACACTACAGGGCTTTTTAGTGGGACGAAAAAAATTAGGAGATAAGCAGGTGAAAGAAAGTTAAATTTAAAGCTGAAGTCATCTCTCCTTATACAACTATGTATTAAAAGAGAAAGGCTGCAATCCTAGATGTTCCTCCAGGTAAAGAAGTTCCATTACAGTTCCTCATACTAAAGATCTAGATTTCTTAATAACACTGTATCCTCTATAGCATGCAATTCTGCTATTTTCAAACCCAATACAAATAATGCCATTTTTTCACAATAACCATGGGTATAGCTTTAGTAAGTGACAAATAGGATGCTGCTGGCTACCCAAGATTAATACTTTATACATTACTTGATTGCTTCAATTTTGCGCTGAGGAAAGAGCATATAAAGGCTTAATGCTCATTAAAAAAACAACCCTGAATAACCTGAGAACATACCCTTTCACACAAGCAGAATATGGTTTAGACTTGTTATTTATGAAGCCACAGGAAAACAATGCCTTACATTACTCAAGTTCCTGGTTTACTAAAGCTATCAATTGCACTAGTAAAGGAGGGAGCATGGGGAGGGAAGCAGGAACAACAGATTAATCATGTCTGAGATGATCAGGTTTCATTATTTAAGTTGCAGAAGTTCTTGGAGAGGGAAGACTACTACTTCAAATTTCTTCCTCCATTCCTTCCTGCATTTACATGACCAAAGCCAGACAGAAAACAGTGCAGTAGCAACAGTAAAAATATCAATACGCTCTGACTCAACTTGTTCATCTGTAGAGAGCAAAAGCTAGCATAGTGCATGCAGAAAGACTAAAATACAGAAATTTAGACGAATTTAAAATCTTAAACATTCATGCCCAAGACACAAAAACACACTGAGCCGTAAACATGCCCCTTTCAAGAATACATGCAAAATCTCACACCAAAGGCATAAGGATTAATAGGTGGCAAAGCAAAAGGTGTGCCAAAATCTGAAATTTGGTGTTTCACTTAAATTCAAGAGTTTAAGATAACCACCTGAATTGCCTCAGATTTTACACCCCTCTCTATCCTTGGATATAGAGGATTTAAATAAATGGTGATTCGATGAGATCCACCCACAGGTCCTGAAAAAAGTAAATGAACTATATGTTCAAATCTGATGTCCCACCATTCATTAAAAATCCATTTTATTTTTTGCTGGTGAAGTTTTGCCCAACGGTAACAGTACTGAATCTTAAAATGATGATAAATTTGATTTTATCACTTACTTTATAACAATGCCTCGAATATATGTTACCTTAAAAGGATAAAGTGATCTTCAAACACCAAATTGTTTGTCATTTCTCAGGAGGGCAGGGTGGAGTTTCCTGTTTCAAAACGGACGCTGGCTATATGGGTGGTGCAGTTATGTATTGAGATTTAGTGCGTATTTATCAGAAGAAATTGGGTTTCATTCATCAGCTGTTAATTTACTTGCCCTCCTGGTGTCATGTGTTACCAGTGAGCCTTAGGAAGGCCCTGTGTTCGATCTAGTCTGTGTAAGTCTGTATCTTTCAGCGTGCTGAAATTCCGAGGTATAGAACAGGAAAAATGACCAGTTTAGAGAGAAGTGTGGGTTTTTTTGTTCCTAGATTTATCATACCAATATTTATCATCTCTTGCCTTGTTATTTTTTTAAATTAATCTCTCATCTGTGAGAGATGGAAAAGAAAGAGGAATATGCTGGCCCACCTTAGGGTCGATGTTCGTATTATTTTGTCAGACCATAAGGAAACTGTATATTCTGCAGGAAAGCTTATTTCTGCAGAACTCTAAAAATAAAATGAACCATGCTTCGTGCAGGGTGACAGCCTTGTCTGAAGCAAGTGTAGGGCAAGCAGATTGTGGGCATACTCTGTTGCATCCTGACCTATGCTATCCTTGCCATTCTTGTCAGTGGTCCTGTGCATTGCTTGTGTGATGTCAATAAACAGGAGAGGACAGAGTCTTAAACAAGGATTTCATAAATCTTGCATAGAAAGAGGGCTTTTCCACAGTGCTTCTAAGCAACGAAGTGCTTCGGTATTTTTCTGGTCATGTAGCTCTGGTGTGCAAGTTCAAAAAATGTTCCGGTACTGTGGTGAAACCCAGGTTGGGTGACAGCAGCAAATGTTTGGAATTTACTGCCATGCAGGCTGACTGTTTATTTTAATAGGTAGCTTGGCTTTTCCAAGGTTGTTGTAGGGGGGAATCCAAATTAAAGCCCTAATTCATGAGAACATCAATGATTAGAACAATAAAGCAGGTTCCCGAACAGAATATGCAGAACAGCAGTTCTAACTGGGTTGAGGGTCAGTAGGTACTGGCACTTATAAAAGGGCAGGGCCTGTTGCGACAGGACAAGGGGGAATGGCTTTAAACTAAAGGGGGGGTAGATATAGACTAGATATAAGGAAGAAATTTTTTTACGCTGAGGGTGGTGAAACACCGGAACAGGTTGCCCAGAGAGGTGGTGGATGCCCCATCCCTGGAAGCATTTCAGGGTCAGGTTAGACGGGGCTCTGAGCAACCTCATGTAGTTGAAGATGTCCCTACTCGTTGCAGGGGGGTTGGACTAGATGACCTTTAGAGGTCCCTTCCAACCCAAACTATTCTATGATTCTATGATCTCAAATATATATTCCATCTCAAAGTCTTGATTCCAAGTTGTACCCCTTTCTCTGAAAACACCTCCATCCCCCAAGATTTTTGAATCAAAACAAGTTATTGCCAATCATCCTCTACTGTTACAGAAAAGATATGATAAAGTTTTTAGGGCCTGCTACAGAAAGATAACCCATGTTTTGGAGAGAGTCACCAGCCCATAGACCAGTCAGAAAAAGGGAGGAAAAAAAGGGGATTGGAAAATTATTTGTTTAGTATGAAAACAGAAAAAAATAATTAGAAGGTATATGGAATAAGAACTGGCACACGGAAAGATAAAGCTTCTTGAAAGTACCATTTATTGAAGATGCAATTTCCCCACCCCCACCCCATCAGAGTAAGGAAAGTCTTATTCAGAGTTTAATTCTGAGAACATTTAACAGTTATTTTCCTGTCAGTGTGCCTTTGGTAATTTACACATGAACAAATTATCTTTTAACCCATTAAAACCATTAGAAGTTTCCCAAAATATTCACACATTGATATTTCTTTCAACTTTCTTAACAAGCAAGCCTTTATCTCACTTGCTTTATCCATTTTTTTTTCTACTTAAATAATATTCTTGGCTCATCATAACTGTGCACCCATCTGAACGCCTACAGTAAGAGACAGATATTCAGTAAGATATTTATATTGAGTCACTGTACAGAGGCCAAGTTACTTGAAGTGAAAAGTGAGGTTTGGGTTGACCTTGTTACGCTTATTCATCTTCCTGATCTTGTGAAGTTGTAGAGACACACTGATACCACTATGACTAAATAAAGCATCTGGTGTCTTATCTTCCTAATTCATTTTGTTCCCACCTCTCTTTTGCTACAGAATTCCCAATGAGTGCAATTTAATACAATTTATACTTTCGTTCCAGTTTGATGCCACTATCTTCTACTCCCCTGCCAAGACACAGTACACTGTCACACACAACTGAATGGTTTTCTCGGCACAAATAGATCACTACTTCCTTCTGAAGCGACTCTTCCCCTTCCCTTAAAAGCAGAAAACAATGCCTAACCAGCTAAATAGCCAAAGCTTCTAGGAATACAGGGTTTTGCTGCTCTCTAGTGGACATACTCTTAAAAAAAAAACTATTAGAAATGCTTCAGCCCCCTTCCTACTCATGCCACTTACAGTTCTTCATGCCTTCCAACTCAAGTGGTTAACAGTAGAATTTCCGTATTTTACTAACAGGAAAACTAATTCAGCATCTTCAGCAACAATCCATACCAGGAGAAGAGGAAAGAGAATTGGAATATCCTTGCTTATGTCTCACTCTCCAGTTATCTATGCGTAAAAGAACAAGGACTATGACTGTATGAACACATTGTAGATGAGATTTAACACCAGTGGGATGAGGATATGTCAATGACCAACTGTAGTTAAATCACTTCATTCCTATAAGGAAGTGTTTTCACTTATAACTGATCTCAAAGAAAGAAAAAATCATACTGTTGTCCTCTTGGAGATACAATTTTGCTTTGACTCCAAGTAGTCCATGTTCTTCTCAGAGAAGCATTATAGTAATTAAGAACTCAGAAACAAGTCAGGTCTCCAAGTTCACTTAAATGAATACATACATTTCTAGAATGGCTTGATAACAGTATGCGATGAGAGAATGACAACTCTGATGTAAGCTAAACTTCCAGAGCCAGCTAATATCTTTTAGGTATAATGCATTTCAATACATTTGGAAAACACCCTTTAAATCTACTACCACAAATACTAAAGTCAGAGGAGAAAAAAAAAGTTTTCACTCAAGTCTTAGTCCATGTTTTCCATGGCACAGAACTTTTTTTTTTTTTTTTTTTTAAGTATTACAACAGTGTTTGGATGGAACCACTAGCACGAAGCTCCACTACCAACTAATGAAAGGTCATGTCTGTTTAAGTGATATGAGGCTTGGGAAATGAAAGTACAGACAGCTAAATGAATGCACTGGAAGTTATATAGACAACCAGTGACAAAGCCAAGAACAGAAATTGGGTCACCATACTAATTTAGTGCCTTCTCTATTGCATTTCTTCACTGCGTCATGACCATTCTACATAATCATTCCTGGTTTATGTGACTGACTACCATAACAGAAAGCAGTGAGACAATGCAGTTATAAAAGTGTGTGTGCATTATGAGACATATCATGTCATAGAAGTTATCAACAGCATACTTCTCATACCTCAATCTGTTTTAATAACAGATTAACTTC